TTAACAATTGTTTAACAGTTTCAAAAGCTTTAACAGCTTCTGCGGGCAAATGGAATGAACGACTATGTCCACGTAAGCAATCGGTTAATGGTTGTAAAGCTTTGGCACAGTTCGGTATAAAACGCCGGTAAAAATTAACGAGACCCAAAAATCGTCGTAATTTCTTAAAAGAATCTGGTAATGGATAATCTTTGATAGCTTGTACGTCATCAGGGACTGGTCTGATTCCTTGGCTATCGATTAAATGACCGAGAAATTTCAGTGAGGTCTTACCAAATTCGCATTTGTCTAAGTTGATAGTCATTCCGTATTGGTTCAGTCTTTCAAACACTGTCTTCACATGTTTCAAATGCTCGGCTTCGTCTGCACTTGCAATTAGTAAGTCATCGATGTATGCGTAGACGAAAGGGAGACCACGGAGTACTTGGTCAATTAGGCGTTGGAATGTCTGAGCGGCGTTCATAAGTCCGAATGGCATGCGTACGAATTCATATAAACCGAATGGTGTGGTAATGGCAGTTTTCGGAACGTCATCCGGGTGGATGGGGATATGATGATACGCTCGGACAAGATCGATTTTAGAGAAAACTTTAACATCTGGTAAGTTGCTAGCGAAATCGTGAATATGTGGTATTGGGTATCTATCAGGTACCGTTTGCTTGTTTAAAGCTCGATGATCACCACACGGCCGTATTTCACCAGAAGACTTTTTGGGTACCATGTGAAGCGATGAAGACCAAGAGCTGTTGGACGGTCGAATAATACCAAGCTCTAGCATTTTATCGAACTCTGTTTTGGCAATTTTAAGTCGATATGGGTCAAGGCGTCGTGGACGTGCAAAAACTGGCGGTCCAGTGGTTTTAATATGATGAACCACATGATGCTTCGGTTCTGTTCCTCGAAAAGAAGGTTTTAAAAGGTCAGGAAACTGATTTACCAAATTGGTATATGGAGATGCTGGTGTGCGTGTGACCATCAAGTTCAGTGATGATGCACGGCTAATCGTACCAGCAATGTACGTTTTATTGGGCGAATCTATTAGCTTGGGGCTTATCGGATCAACTAACAGTTTGTGTTGCTGCAGAAAATCAATACCGAGGATTGGGGATGGGACGTCTGCAATGATGAAAGACCAAGTGTAGGTATTCTTTAAACCAAAATCTAAAGTCATTCGTTTACTTCCATATGTAACAATACTGGACTGATTAACAGCTTGGAGCGTAACTGCTGGGTCAGGATGTTGACGTTCCTGTGTAGACGGAGGGAGAACACTCACCTCTGCTCCTGTGTCAACTAAGAATGTAGTACCGGTATTTTTATCTGTTACATAAAACAAACGACTGTTAGATCGTAGGTTGCCAACAGTATTTTTTACACATGACGATATATCTTTTGGTTTAGTCTGAAAGTTACAAGGTGAACGGCACCGTCGTGCACTGCTTCCATATTTACGGTGATACCAGCAAATATTATCGTGATGTCGTGACGTGCTAAGGGATCGAGAAAGACGTCGACGAGACGAGCTTCTAGAACGGCTTGGTTGTGTGCGTGTAGTCAGTTTTGCTAACTGACTCAGTAAGGTGTCGACTTTGTGTTCTAGAGTCTGTATTCTATCATGAGTGTCTGGTATTCTGCTAGTGGAAGCGACAGATTGAGGTGTTGACCTCTCGTACATGCGATCCGCGATTTCGGTGAGCCTTTCTATGTCAATGTCGTCGTCTCCGAAAGCAAGAACCTGCTGGATGTTTGCGGGAAGTCTTCGTAGCCATATTTGGTAAAAGAGACGTTTATCGATTTCTCTTCCGGCAACTAGGCTTTGCATATGCCTCATGAGTTGAGATGGGGTTTTATCACCTAACTCAACATTGCTTAACAGGCGATCGAGTGCTTGCCTATCAGAAAGCGAAGTGCATCGCAGTACCTCTTCCTTCAACTTGTCGTAAGGTGCTTCTGTGCTGGGATGAACGATGTATTGCCGTACCTGCTCGGCGACTTCGTCTGGTAGTACTGTACTCAAAATGCCAAATTTAGCTGTCTGTGACGTGAGCTTATTGCTAGCCAAATAATGTTCCAGTCGAGCAAACCAAAGATGAGGGTCTCTGGGCTTAAAAACTGGTACAGTAAGAGAAACAGTACTAACAGATCCCAGCTCTAAGTTATCAGAGGTATTCGAAGACATGTTACAATTCGTAAAAAAAATGGTCTAAGAGTAGCAAAATAGCAAAAATTGTGCACAATAAGAATATGGCAAAACAGAAAAATGCAACGCAGATGCTTACCACAAATTACTGCAGGTTGTGCTATGAGCAAACACAAGAATGAGTTCAAATTGTTTAATAAATATATAAATCCGCGAAAGTTAGAGTTTTAATAATCCAGCAAGTGTACGACGCGTCGAGGTCAAAAAGTCGTCGGAGTCAGCAATTTTTCGTCGGGGTCAGCAAGTTATCGTTGGGATCACCAATTTGTCGTCGGGCTCACCAATTTATTGCGTGTTCTATTTGACTAAATGAGCGTGCACGTATTTCCTAGTACTTCTTCACGTTTATCAATGTGCGCAGACGTTGTGGCTACTCGACGCCCACAACGTAAAATCAGAAGGCACTTGTGAAGAGTGTAATCGTGTATTATAGCCGTAGTCAAATTTCGAAATTGTATCAAGGTAACGTTCAACAGTAAATTGACAAATGTTTACGAAGTACATATAAAATCGGTATGTGTAAACATATAGTATGAGTATGCAAATTAGATTAAAAACGTATGTTTATAGTTGGTATAGGGGTACTACAAGTCTTCACATCGCTGGGATTCCACTTATGTGCAAGTTATAGCTACCGTCTTTTCCAAGTTTCCTGTGTGGCTTGCGTCTCTTTCGTCAGGTAGTGGTGCAGTGATGTTTCGCACTTGGCCGCATTTACATATTTTGCTTGAGCCCCCTTACCTGCCTGAGCACGAAAAAGACTACTCCAGTGGCTCTGATAGCGTTTACTGCACATTTGGTGCTTGTATGCAGTTTATCTTTCAAGAATAGCCCGGGGCTGCCTCCACGGAAGAGGTAGAAAAATGTTTGTTTTACCAATGTACGGATGAACATGACCCAACATTTCTTAATACTGAAAGTCGGTTCATTTTACATGTCTCCTTTTCTTATTTGCGGGGAGCCTATTCAGATCTTCCAGAAAAATATGCTATCCTCTGTATAAGCCCTCAGGTAGTCACTAACGGTTATACGACATCATCATAACCTTAAAACAACAGAGAAGTGTCACTCCTCGGAGCCTATTTATCATGAAAGCTTAAAAAGTTCGCCCCACGTAAATCAATTGATAGAATAATGAAAAAGCTTCACTGAGTGAAATCATTGGCAATATTCTACCAGGATAGGTACATTACACATTTGTAGATCTTAGGAATGCCATTTACTGTGTGCCTGAGAAATTCCTATCAAGTAGAGCTACCTGAATGCAGAATGGCGATTCGCTGCTATCTTTGACTGGAGCCTATTTAGACGATAGTGTGTTCCGCATGAAGACCTGAGTAGCCTACATGGATATGAACAAATAATGAGGTATCGTAAGTAGTAATAGTGGATTCCCATAAATCAGATACTGAGTATAGTAAGCTTTTCAACTCTTCTGTACTTGCATAATGTTAAACTGTAGAGCGGCAGTGAGGGTATGAGAAGAATTGACTAACATGAGACATGTAAAATGAACCGATTTTCAGTATTAAGAAATGTTGGGTCATGTTCATCCGTACATTGGTAAAACAAACATTTTTCTACCTCTTCCGTGGAGGCAGCCCCGGGCTATTCTTGAAAGATAAACTGCATACAAGCACCAAATGTGCAGTAAACGCTATCAGAGCCACTGGAGTAGTCTTTTTCGTGCTCAGGCAGGTAAGGGGGCTCAAGCAAAATATGTATATGCGGCCAAGTGCGAAACATCACTGCACCACTACCTGACGAAAGAGACGCAAGCCACACAGGAAACTTGGAAAAGACGGTAGCTATAACTTGCACATAAGTGGAATCCCAGCGATGTGAAGACTGACTCAGAAAGCTGGATCTGCATGCTTTCAGTTACCGCCGAACCAGCGACGACTTCAACATGTCATGCAAAATAGTGCATAAGGCAAATCACCCAAACTGAGTCATGTTATCAAAAGGCACCGTGGTATCCCTCAGTGTAACTTTAAATAAATCTCTCATCAGAGGACAGCAACAAAAGTATGGTCTTACCCTTTCTGCCTTACAGCTAGTTACTCACAGAGTTTACTACCAAACGATGTGGCAACCGCTCCATCAGCTGATAGCTTCGAGAGAAAGCTGGACTACTTTGCAGGAACGATAGGTTAGCACTCATCCATAGGGAGAAATGACTAGTTCCAGGGAGTTGAACTGGTTCTAAAAATCTCACACCCACTTTTGTATACTGCAATATTTTATTCTAATCACTTGAACACAACCCCTGTCAGCCTTGTTCTTTTCTTTTTGCTGTGTATGCGCTCTCAATGTCTTACCTGTTCCACACCTAGTCTTCTTGCGTCAACCTCCACTTGTTTCATCCACCCATCTCTTTTCGCTCGGGATGTTTTTCGGTCCGACTGAAGGATACCCCAGCGAAATGAGACTTGCAATTTCCAGCAGCGCCACCGCCCTGGTATGCAACCATGCAAACTATGCAATTCCTCCAAAGTGGCCAAATGAGCTCCCTCCTATGACACCCAGCAGAGCTGCATCAGTTGACGAGATATATCATACTGGAGTCCAGCAAAGATCTAAAGTCTTTACGAAACAACGAGAAGCGAGCGCTAAGAAATGATAAAGTTTATACAAGCTTGACAGAAAGGTATTCGATGTAGGATATTAGTGACCATTCTACGAGAGAAGCTACAGGAAACATACAGCAAAAACTGTGAAGTAAAACGTTCTGCTAATATCAAGAAATGAAGCCGATTGGACTACACAATTGTATTATTCAGATCACATAGACAAAAATTAATGGCCTTGAAATTTGAGAAATTTCAAAAACATCACATTTTACTGCGCACCAAACTAGGATTACTACTAAGTTATGACTGAAATTCCTTATAGTAAACAAATGCGCCCACCTGATTTTGGGGAATGAATATTGGAATTTTTATCATATTCGCAATTGTTTCCTTCACAACTCTAAGTGAGTTAATTTCAATTACCGTTTTCATAGTTTCAAGATATTGTTCACCTGTGTTGAGTATGAGTTGACAGTATGTTGAAAATACGTTTTATGGATTTACAAAAGAATGATGTAAGACAGACTTGAGATCAACTCAGGTAATATTGGAGGTTTCCAAGAGATTTGTATGAAGACGTCTTGAGGTACAATCACATCTTATGTGATGTAGAATATAGACTTATGTATTGACCAAAATTTTCCAATTCAAAAACAGAAGTGAATTACTGAGTCTACACGCTACTCACGTCAGTAGGACTGAGGTATATTTGGCTTTTTCAGAAAATTTTCAATCAAGCACATGTGATCTTATGTCATCTCACAGTGTATATGATTCGAGAATTACTTCAGGAAGCACGTTGTTGATAGTTTATGCACCTGAACTACTGCAGGCAGTCAAACAGACATCAGTACAGACCTGAACATAAGTTCAGGGCTTGCCAATCGCTCGCATAATGCTCCTCTGGAAAGTGATTTCTTCGAGTCAATACGGGTTTTCCAAGAATATAAGGAAGCACTATATCATCGTTAACCGAAATAAGATATTCATGCAGTGTGATGATTTTTGAAAGGGAGTTTCGGTCTGATTTTATGTGCTGAACAGTTATCTTGAAGTCACTAAAATCTGTTGTTTATAACTAGTCTGAGTTGAAACATAGATAGACTAAACACAAGCCAATTAATGAATTCGACTCTAAAAAATTGGCCATTTAGCAAAATTATGAGACTAAACGACGAAAACTAACTGCTTACTTCTTCACATTATCGGAATCAAAACTTTCGATACGTCTCAGCCACCGGTCTTCCTTGCATGAAGGCAGATGGCGATTGTCAGCATTATTTAAACCCATGTAAATTCAAGACGCTCCATGAGTTGTTCCAGAGATTTGAAGACAGAGATTACATCTTAACAATCCTTCAGGCAACTTAGTCCTAGTTCTGGCTGCATTAGAATGAGTGGTAAAATGTACTACTCAGCTAGATGAAATTCTTGTTCACATTAGATCATACAGTAGTAAATGCCAGTGTAAATATATATATATTTGTCTGGTGGTGGTCTTAAATTTAAACATTTTCTACACCTCTCAGACGTGACTCTAGCAGAGTTCAACAAGACAATTAGACGAACTGACACGGCAATGAAGACCCCAACATAACAATGTAGTTCATGTATCTCTTATTTGGAAATGTAAACAAAACTCTCAACCTAAACATCAAGTCATTGAAATAAACAGAGGCAAAGGCACGGATCGCAACAAGACGAATGAGTAATATGATACGGAATATTTAGAATTTTAGGAAAGTGAGAGACTAGCGGATGTACGGACCTGTGAAAAATTTACTGATGAGTGTATTTTAATGGAGTTGATTGTTAGGTTGCTAAGTGGTGTTTGTGACTGTGGATCAGGTTTCACAGTTACCATCAAAATTGAAAGACTAAGATAAAGCTAGGTGTACGTGGTATATCTAAAGTGGCGTAGTTTGGAAAGCCTTCTTTTACTTAATAAGCCCCTGAGCTGTAGAACGAGAAATCAGTATTCCGGCTTATTTTGCATATAAAGTATCTTCTGTTAAATTAAAAGGAAGTCAGACGACCTCTGCTATCGGATATTGAAGGTTGGCCGGTAGTCAGCCGGCCATACTTTTAAAGACAATTCCGTGCTTTATTTTCTTCCAATCGCTAGTCTTGGTTAGCAGATTAAAGTTTTGATTTGCTATTATCAATGTTGAGACGTCTTAGAGTATTGGAATGAAGTCGACTGCATGTCATATTGCGAAATACGCCCTAGGAATTAGTCACTATATGCTGCAACTAGAGATATTTTTTGACGCATACGATGATTTTCACGTCGTTAACGCAGATTCGAAGAACGGTATATATATATGTATAAATACAAGAGTTGGATATCCTTGAACGCTTCAATTATCAGAGTTTCGGGAGACAGATGTTTCCTATTGTTCTCCTTTTTCCAGTTCACCTGCAGTTTGGTTGCGTAGAAATCTCCAGAATTTTTCGTTATCTGTTCAGCCAGATTATCCATTATTTTGGTGATTTTGTGAGTAAATTCTGAGATATATTTAAATATAGGCCGTTTCCTTACTTATCTGTGAGAATCAAGTTTTCCGATTGATTTTTCACTATGATCACAACTTATCTTTGCTTAGGCACTACACTTTCCTCCATCTCCTTTCAGCTTTGTACCAGTAGGATCTTTGCAGCAGTGATTGTTGCAGATATATTTTTTCGATACAGAATGATAACTCTGATCTATTCGATAATACTGTTTTCTATGTAATCACGAAAACAGAAATGTTTGCCAGTCTATCCATCATCTCGATGTTATCGGAATTTGACGCAACCGGAACGACTTATATGTAAAACAGCTTGCAAAATGTGTTGTACAAGAATTGACAATCTATTATCTTTGTTTGTTGGTTTTATTGGAGTCGAAATATCTGAGTTTTGTGAAGAATTATTAGGTGTCAATGAAGTCGTCGTGGATTTATGTCCTTGGTTAAGCCTTGGAACTTTCGATTTGAAGGATTACCTTTGTACAACCTCTGTACTCGTAATTTATCTGCCTCGCTAACTAAATTCGCCTTACACGTATCCACACTTAAGAGATGACGACTAATGATGTAAAAGAACAGTATTATCCATGTAGAATGTTACAGTTTTACCAATTCGTAGTAATACGTGACGTGAATTTTTGCGAAATCTCCTAGCTGCTCTTTGAAATAACTCTTCTGAGTGTGGAGGAGTTAAATTCATATCACTGGATGGCGTGACATCATTGTGGCTTTAGTGTGTTCTACACAGTTTGGCTGACGGAAGGTTAGATCGAGCATTTCAAAAGGAGAGATGCTCGAATGTGATGCTCTTTTTTCTTTGAATATGTCATCTTTCATATGATTTTCTCCATCCTTTTAGGGTTGTGTATTTGTTGGAACTTGTTGAGGATATTGGTATCATCTGTCTTAATTCAGTCGTTGGTTATTTTTGCTCAGGTTTATGATTCACTGATCACTGTTCGTTTTATAGTAGTTCAAATGAGTCTTAATTTTGTTGCTCTAATGTTGGATATTTTTTATTTCGTTCTCTTTGGATAGTCGGTTGAAGATCACTATTTTCTTTTCCATTAAGTTCCACAATTTTGGTTTTTTCAACCTAATATACGGCCGACTGCACGTCCTCCAGTGTTCAGACTTTGTGTATATCATTATGTGTTGATGGGAGGTTGTTTGTGTGTTTTAACTCTTTTATGGATCATTTTATTTATTGTTGTGTTTTGATGTAGACTAAAAAGCATGTGAACTGGTCGCTGTTAGATTTTGATATGTTTCATCAACTAAATTTGTTTTTATTTGTATGTTTATATTGGATGTATGGGGGTAGCAGCTGTTAATTTGTTCACCCATACACATTATTTCCGCGTGAAATGTCTTCATGTTGTATAACGGGTTGTCAATGCCTATTTACAATATTCTGTGAATTCAAAACGCATGGTGGCGTTTAGCTACGAATTAATCTACC